TCCATATCTGGGCTTCTTCACAGATGTAAAGGACTGGGCCCAACCCCCTTCTCGGCTCCCCATCAACACTACAGATGTTGACTGTGAACAGAAACAGCCGGAAGGAACAGCTCAACCTGGGGCCAACTCTACAGCATTGAAGGGAGCAATAACGGTCTTTTGCCCCTCCATGCTAGCCATCCTAGCCGCTGGGCTACTCCTCCTTCCATCAGCTTTCCACCATATTCAGTACTCTGAATCTGCTTTCTTAAGCCTGGATGAATTGCTAGAAGTTAACCACCTCTGCTTGGCTGCAAGAGACTCCTAACAGAAGTGCTCACAGACTCCTTGGAACAACACCTGGGACCCTTTGCAATGGCAGTCACTCTGTTAGTTCTAGCAACAAATGCTCTGCTAGAGGAGAGAAAAGGGACCCACCCAAGACAGTTTTCTCCCAAGATCATTGGATAACCTGATTTCCTAGTTAGAGTCCCCATTTGCTTGCTCCCTAACCTGGGCTCTGTTGGAGGTAGAGCTTGGAGAACCAGGGAATGTCAGAGACAAGAAAAAGCGACTGAGGGGCTGGAGAGAAAGCATAGGCATTAAAGCACTTGCCTTGCAGTGGTCGACCCGGGTTTGATCCCTGGCTCCACATAGGGCCCCCCCCAAGTCCCAGCCAGGAATAGTCCCTGAGTATAGAACCAAAAATAACCCAGACCACTGCCGAGTGTGCCCCCCCCCCAAAAAAAGAAAGAGGTATGAGAAATAAGCAGAGATGTTGGCCGCCTTGGTGACGAACAGAAGGGAGGACCCAGCCACAGCAAACCTCCCCCTAAGGTTCTCGAGGCCCAGGAGCAGCCCTCCCCGCGACCTTCCTGTGCAGGGATGTGGAGTGTCCCTCAAAACACTGGCTCCTCTGTTGTTGTTGTTGGAAAACAAACGCTTCCTTCCAAGATTCTCTTTCCCAGTTAATATCTGTGTTCAGAACGCCGAGTCCCTGGACACGAGGCTGTGGCTTTGTCCAGACCTGAGATCTCAATTTCCCAATTTCCTCTCCGTTTCCCTCTCCTCTTGGAGACCTGCTGAGTTGGGAGAGAAACCGCCACGGGTGTTTGGCTGCAAAAGACTCCAGGGATCAAGGGACCCTTTATCCCACGTCGTGTGTCAGTCAGTCTCCCCGTTCTGCCACCCGGAAGTGGCTTCTGCCACGTGACCTCCTCACTCTTGAGGGAGAGGGTCACCAAACCCATTCAAAGGGGGAGAGCCCAATACTGTTCCTCCCCACACACCACACACTCCCATCCTCCTCCTCCTCCTCCAAGTTTCCTTCTCACCCCACTTCCTCCCCAGAAGCAGGTCCTCTGATTGCACACAAGATGCATCATATCTCACATTTGAAATGATACTGAGATCCACAATCGCCTACTGCATTCCCACAGAGGATAACAGAGGAGACTATCAATATAGTGACAAGGACCCAGAAACATTGGGGTACACTCTTTCCACGCTATCTGAAGCCTTAGAGTAGTGACCCATCCCTTCCCCTGGTTTTGTTCTCCTGAGACTCTGGCTGCCATGTTTACATAGTATAGCTTCAATGCTGTGCTGGCAAGATGCTATTTAATGATAGCATTTAACGCTTTGGGACCTGGATGTGTGTCCTCATACTACTGTTCCCTTTAACTGAAAACTTTCCAAAGGCCTGAGTCATTCCTGGATTTTTTTTTTCTTTTTGGGTCACACCCAGTGTTGTTGCACAGGGCTTACTCCTGGCTCATTCACGCAGGAATTACTCCTGGTGGTGCTTGGGGGACCATATGGAGGCTGGGAATCAATCATGGGTCGGCCGAGTGCAAGACAAATACCTTACCCTCTGTGCTATCACTCCAGTTCCCATTCCTGCAACTTTCTATGCCCTTCCAAAGATATTGATTGAGATCTCATCGCAGGGCTGCCTATCAGGGCAGAAGGAAGATGATATGGGGATTGAGAACAAAGCTAGAATTAATTCCTAAGCACCACTGGGTGTGATGCTAAAAATAAAACAATAAAATAAAAATAAAATAATAAAATTTTTAAATGGCATGGCAGAAACCAGAGGGACAGAGCAGGCCCTCCTTGGAGGTTGAGGCTAGGAATGAGAATAACCTAGATTAAAAAAAGAGGGATGGTAGCATATTCCAAGAACAGAGTGGAAGGCTAGGAGAAGACATTAAGAGAGGAATGTGGAAGGTATAGGGAAGAAATGAGGGAAGAACATGAGAAAAGAATGGGAAGGAAGACGGATGCAAAGGAGAGTAAAGATAGTGATACAGAGGGAATAGGAAGAGGAGGACAGAAACCTGTCTCTAAGTTTCCTGCTAAAAAGGATCATCCTGTCCGTCTTTTCCCCTCAGCAGCAGCATGGTGACCGTCATTTTTCAAAGCCTGTTGGACTGAGGTATGAGCCTGCAGTGATAAGAGATGTGGGGCCTCATTGGAAAGGGGTGGGACCGACCCTTCTCCCCACACAGATGAGACCCCAAGTTGCCACTCATGAATGGCACCTTTGGCTCCAGAATGGCCATGATCCCAGATGCACACAAACCAATCTCGGAACCCAGAGACTTCTGGCAGAAATCCCTCCGGACTTAATTATTAAAATACCTGTCCTGTCCTCCCGTTGTTCATCGATTTGCTCGAGTGGGCCCAGTAACGTCTCCATCATGAGACTTGTTGTTACTGTGTTTGGCATATCGAAATACATCATGGGTCGTATGCCAGGCTCTGCCTTGAGGGCGAGATACTCTCGGTAGCTTGCCGGACTCTCCGAGAGGGGCAGAGGAATCGAACTCGGGTCGGCCATGTTGGCTACGTGCAAGGCAAACGCCCTACTGCTATGCTATCGCTCCAGCCCTATTAAAATACCAGAATTCCAAAATCACGTGGCTGCTGTCGTGGCTGCACATGACATCACATGCTTTTCATTATCAGCAATAGAAAACTAATGATCTAATGATGCCTTTTTGGAAGGTCTGATTGTTGGGGGGGAAATTCCAAATAAGAATGGTGTGTCTTTTGTTGAAAAATTGAATGTAATCAAAGAGAGAGAGAGAGAGAGAGAGAGAGAGTAAAGTGGAAATCATCTGCTGCACAAGATGTGGAAATCATCTGGGGTGGGATAGGGAGTATACTGGGGTTTTTGGTGGTGGAACACGTGCACTTGTGAAGGGATGGGTGTTTGATCATTGTATGACGGAGACTTAAACCTGAAAGCTTTGTAACTGTTCAAGGTGATTCAATATAAAATAAATAAATAAATAAAGTATCATCCTGGAGTAGTGATCACAGACTTTAACATCTTTCTCACCTTCTTCCCAAGAATCAATGATCAGGTAATAAACTGAATGAAGTTAAGAGGGCAATAGATATTACTACAACCCAGAGAAGGGAGAAGAAATATCGATATAGACATAAGTAAAGTTGGAAAGACAGAAAACAAAGGGGTTGGCCAAGCTAAGGCACCATTGGAAGGATGTAGAACCTTCCATCGAAGATAAGATCTAAGTCCCACTGCCAGCACATTGGAAGAACATCAGAGTAGAAGGAGGATTCGAGAAGCAAAACAAAGATTAGTAAGCACAGTGGGCTTGGGAGGAAGAAGAGTGTCACTTGATGAGTCAAAGAGCACAGTAGTGCAGTTGGGGATTCTCAAGTATCCTTGTAAAGCCAAGATATTCAGGACGTAACCCCAAAACAAGGGTCTTTGACTTCAAAGCAAAACGCTTTAAAGGCTTCACATGTTTTGGTGACCACACCCAGCCATGCTCAGAGTTTACTCATGGTTCTGTACTCAGAGGTCACTCCTGGTGATTCTTGGGGGACCAAATGCAGTGCCAGAGATGGAACCAGGCATGGCCATATGCAAGACAAGTGCCTTAACACCTGTACTATCTCTCTGATCCTGATCAGCAAAACGTGTATGGCTAATATTCAGGTCTATGTTTGTTCATTGTATAACAGACACTTGTATATTTTCCAGAGAGGTTTTGTTAGTCTTATTAAGTCTTTGGAACAGAACCCAGAGATTTGATCCTTCATGAGAAAGGATTTGGTCATGATATCTCACAGGAAGGGATTTAATAAGTGGTTCTGGATAGGGACAGTAGGTCTTTGGGAGATGGTGCTGGCATCATCAATACCATCAACCAATCTGTTGTTGCTGATTCTAATGATGCCAGGGGCAATGGAGATGGTGTCAATAAGACTAATGATAATAGCAATGGTCCAGAAGGCAATATATACGACATCCATCCATGATAGGAGGTGGGAATTGTGCAAAAGTCAGAATTATAAAGTTGAGCTTCACAAAGCTAGTTTGTGAGACACTGTGTGTGAGACAAACAGGCAGATGGACAAAGGGACAGATAGCTCTCCTGGGTTAAACTAGAGAGTCATCAGGCCAGGACTCTTCCTGAAGACATTTCAAATGGTTACTTGCAGGCGTCACTCCTTTCTCCTAAAGTACCTGATTTTATTTATTCATTCATATAGGTTTTGGGGCCACACCTGGCTGTACTCGGGATTTACTTCTGGCAGTACTCTAGGGACCATACATAGTGCTAGAGATAAAACCCAATTGAGTCACATGAACGGCAAACACTCTACTATCTCCTGAGTCCCTAAAATATCTGAATATTAAAAACTAGGACAGTGGCTCGTGTGACAGCACAGTGGGTAGAACACTTGCCTTGCATGCAGCTGACCCGGGTTCGATTCCCAACATCCCATAAGGTCCCCTGAGCACTGTCAAGAGTAATTCCTAAATGCATGAGCCAGGAGTAATCCCTGTGCATCACCAGCTGTGACCCAAAAAGCCCCCCCCCCCGCAAAAAAAAAAAACTAGGACAACTCCATGTTCATTTTTATTTGTAGGTCTTTTCTGAATTCTGTTATACCCCCATCCCACCCAACCCTGTTTTCAAATATTTTTTCTTGGTCATCCTGGGGAAGCCACCAGACCAGGAGAAACATGTACTCACTTTCTTGGTGGGAACTTTGATCTTCAAAAATTCTGCCTCTCTGGCCAGCACCTGCCAGGGGGCATGGATCCGGACAAAGATGGCTCCATGGCTCTTACTCTGTAAGGAGGGTACAAAGAAAGAAAAAATAGAAACATAAGGATGGAGTAGAAGTTCTTAGTTCCCAGCTCGCTTACTCTGGAAGCCCAAACTTGTGTCTCCTTCACCTTCTGCTTCTGCTTCTTAAACTTCAGTCCTAGGGCCTTGGGACTGGAGCGATAGCACAGCGGGTAGGACATTTGCCTTGCATGCAGCCGACCCAGGTTCGATTCCCAGCATCCCATATGGTCCCCTAAGCACCGCCAGGAGCAATTCCTGAGACCAAAGCCAGGAGTAACCCTTGTGCATCGCCAGGTGTGGCCCAAAAAGAAAAAAAATACTATACCGTGGCCTGATCCCTTGTACCTAGCCCCTATTCATTCATCAATTCTCTTCCAGAAATGCTCTCCTCAAAAACTGAATGTGGGGGGTTTCTATGATGGACCCTGGAAGTTTGATGGTGTCGGGGGAAGCGTTTGAACAACTGCCTTTGTGGATTTGAAATGCAGACAGTGAATGATGCTCACAAAAATCCCAGATCACTCTCACTAGCAGTTAGTTTATCTTCACTCCCCTCCAGTCAGCAGCTTGCAACTTACTTTCACTGTCAAGTTGGCATTTTTGTTCTTCTGCTTAGTTGTGTTGCCCCCAATTAAAATCACCTAAGCCTGAATGTGATGTAAAGGATAGTATACTTCAAATTACATCATCCATATAAATCAGGGTACCAATCCAAGTGTAAATCATTCATCTCTGTCCCAGGACAAGTGCATTGTTGTCACTCAAAAATGAAAATGAGGGGCTGTAGCAAGAGCCCAGCGGGTAGGGTGTTTGCCTTGCACGCTGCTAACCAGGGTTCAATTCCCAGTATCCCATACAGTCCTCTGAGCACTTCCAGGAGTAATTCCTGAGTGCAGAGCCAGGAGAAACCCCTGTGCATCGCCAGGTGTGACCCAAAAAGAAAAAAAAATGAAAATGAAAGGGATGCATCAAGGAACATTTGACAGGCAGATCTTAATGCCTCAGCAATCCACTGGAAATTGGTTTATGTGTCTTTTATTAAACACAGTCTGATGAAAACATGAAGCAATCCATGTTTTGTCTTCAAATAAAACCTAATTTTTTTTGGAACAGAGAAAAATACTTTCTGATATTGATTTCATCACTAAAGAGTGAAAGACCAAATGAAGTGGAAAATTAATGATGATGAGAGGCTTCTACCTGCAAAGCTAATTACAGACAGAGCTACACAGAGAAATAATTGGCAGAGAGCAAATGCCTCCATGAAGTGTCTAGTGGGAATCACTTAAAACTTTGTAGTGGAACCATCCAGAATGGTGGCATATAGGCATTTACCTGTGAACAAAGCCAGAGTGGGAAATGGGTCCGATCAAGTCTGATCTATTTATCCCCTAAGAAACCATGCTGTAGGAGAATAGATATCCAATCTGAATTAGTGAGGGTGCAGGTTTCTTTCACTATCTAATAGCAAAGTTTTCCCACAAAAACGTTTATGACCTGACATGATGTAAAACAAAGAAGCAATTGCCATTTCTTTTATACGGAAAAATAATTCTTAGCATTCCCAAACCCCAAAATCACCTACCCAAATAGCACATAAAGCCTAAGATAACATTAACACGTGGGCCAATCACAACTTTGGCTTTTAGCCCTAGGTCATAAAAACAAAACCCCCTTCAAACTTCTTCCTCTTGGCAGAAACAGTTACTGAGGTAGCTCCTTCATAAACATGCAGTGGTGTCCCATAAATTTTCCAGAAGCAGGGAATACCTGTTGTAGGATAACATTGGTTTGTCCTTTCTGCCTTGCCACAGGGAGCTTAGGTTTATTGGGTTACTCCCATCACAGTGCTCCCATTCCTCTGTGTTTATTGGTAACTTCTTTCTTTGTGCTCTGCTTCCCCAAACACTTTTGCTTCCTAATCAGACTCTGTTAATTTGTAAATATTGCTTTTCTCTTCTCCTTAAGTCCTTTGCATAGTTAATTCAGAGTCATGTCCTTTTCATATAGACATAAGAAGATAGTGCTATGATTTTTGTAACTTGGGAGTTAATTGACTCTGAGTAATATTCACTCCTGGGCATCTGTTCTCTCAGTGTAAGCCGCAGTTGCCCTTAGTTCCTAGCACCCTAAAAGCAGGGTCCTGAGGTGGGACTGGATGGACCCAGGGCAAGCTGTGAGCTACCCTGGCATCGAAATTGGCCAGACCCAAGTGCCATAATACTTAACTATGAGTTAAGAGCATGGTCATGAGCAAATTCTGTCATGATCCAAAAAGTAACAACTAGATTAGGACCCTGCTAGGGTTAAGAAAGATTAATCTGGCCTGAGCACTGTAGTCTGAGATCTATATCAAGATGTCCCCAGGAGAGCCGCTCTACAAGCTTAATGTATCTCTTACTATGTCCATACAAAATAACTGATATGAAGATGTTAATAAGATGTCAATTAAGTTACTGGACTAAGGAAAAGAGAAAAGCCCCTAGGTGGTATTTTGCTCTTGAGCCTGATCTGTGATCAAGAAGGGCTTCGATATGTTGATTGTGCTACCCCCAATGCTGGAGAGAGCTGAGAGACTAGAAGAGAGACCAAGCTGAGAGTCGAAGCGTGGAGAGACTAACTAGGGGGACAGGAGGAGATGGGAACGGAGAGGTCAGTGAGACTGGAACAGGCACATGGGGAGAATGGAATACACGGCAACTGATCACCAACCAGCCTGGCCTCATCTCCTCCTTCATCCACCCATGGCATTGGCTGTCCCGGGTGGGAGCGCAGCGCGAGACCACCGAACCCAGCTGGGAGGAGAGAGCCAAGCCTGGTCGCTTCATGATTATACACCTGTGTCATGAAAGAGAATGAAAAGGGAGCAGGTAAAGACAGGTGAGGGAGGGGCAAGACGCCGACACCGTACTGCACTGGGCTGGTCTCAGCTCAGTGCTCACTGGTACTCAAGAGACCTCGTAGTGCTGGAGGTTGAACCCACACACCAAACATGCTTTTGAGTCATTTCCCCAGCCCTCGCTGTCCCTTTCGAAAACCATTCGTCAACTTCATTCAACAAAATCAGTTTTTATTCCAAGATCCCCAGGGCCCCCTCTGGTCTTTGTTTGGTTCACAGTAATAGTGAAGACCCTCCAACTTAGTAATACTAAGACCCTCCATAATACAGAGGTTAGTGCATTTGCCTGGCACACAGCTGACCTCAGTTCAATTTCTGGTACTACGTGGATTCCTGAGCAATACTGGGAGTGACCCCTGAACACAGAGTCAGGGGTAGCCCTTGAGCTTTGCAAATGTAGCCCCCAAATGTAAGTAAATTATGGAAACCATAATGCCATTGAAAGAACTTGGGGACAAGTGGAAGAGACTAATTTCCTCATCAAAGTACACTGACAAAGAAGGTATGTGTGTGTTTTTGAAATGACACATAAGAAAAAATACATATTTTTATGATGCTTGCCATGTAAGTAAAGGCTATTTCTGTGATTTTTTCATTTAAATACAGAAATAGATAGGTATGTTGAGATATACAAAACCCTTAGTCATTCAAACATCCAGAAAATATCTCGACTTCAGGAACAGACATTTATGATTTATATGAGAGAAGAACAAAGATTAAACCAAGATTTCACTTGCACGTGAAGGAAGGATGAACTATGGTATAAAAGTCTCGGAGAATCTAGAGTTTACAAATATGTAGAAACCAACAACCATAATGCACTTTTCTTGGGAGCATATCACACCAGGAAGAAGTGAGGTTGGTAAATATATGCTCACAGAATATCACCACCCTTTAGTCAGACAGGTCTGATTACTCGCTTTGTTTTACTGTTGAGAAACTCAAGGCAGGGGCATTTTAAATAGTTTATCCAAAGCTACATAATAGTATCATTTAAAAATGTCTTCCCAATTTTGGAGGTTATGCTGATACTGGTGATGGATTTAGAGTTGGAACATTGAATGCCTGAAACTTCAGTTTGTAAATCATGGTAAATCTTTATAATTCATAAAGCCTTTACTTACATGGCAAACAAATAAATAAAATAAAGTTAAAGTACGTAAATAGTTTGATGTTTTTATTTCATTTTGGGTTTTTGGTTAGAGGCCACATTGGTGGTGCTCAGGTATTACTACTCTCAGGTTTGCACTCCATAGATTACTCCTGGCATGATTCAAAGGATCATATGTGGTGCCAGGGAATGAACTTGGGTTGTTCACTGTATCACTGTATCACTGTCATCCTGTTGGTCTTCAAATTAATCAAGTGGGCGCCAGTAACGTCTTTATTTCTCCCAGCCCTGAGGTTTTAGCAGTCTCTTCTTCTTTTGTTGGGGGGGAGGGGGTGGTTCACACCTGGCAATGCACAGGGGTTACTCCTGGCTCTGCACTCAGGAATTACCCCTGGCGGTGCTCAGGGGACCATATGGGATGCTGGGAATCGAACCCAAGTTGGCCACATGCAAGGCAAACGCCCTACCCACTGTGCTACTGCTCCAGTCCCTTAGCAGCCTCTTCTTACTCGTCTTTTCCCAATGATTGGAGGCTCTTTCAGAGTCAGAGGAATGAGATCTATTGTCGTTACTGTATCTGGCATATCAAATACGCCACGAGGAGCTTGCCAGGCTCTGCCCAGAGTTGGTCACGTGCAAGGCAAACACCCTATCCACTACTCTACCTCTCTGGACTCCTAAATAATTTTGTTAAATAAGTAATTGGCAAAGAACAAAGACGTGTCTTCCAAACCAGGCACTCTGCGCTCTCTTAGGACTCTCTGGGCTGGAGTTATAGCACAGCAGGTTGGGCATTTGCCTTGCACGTGGCCGACCCGGGTTCAATTCCCAGCATCCCATATGGTCCCCCAAGCACCGCCTGGAGTGACTCCTGGGTGCAGAGCCAGGAGTAACCCCTGTGCATTGCCCAGTGTGACACAAAAGGAAAAATAAAGGATTCTCTGCTCTGATCTGAGACAGGCATTACACATTTTCAAGCACAGAGTTAAA